ATATAGTATCTAATATTATTTATGATCGTACGGTTATTTATCAGGTTGATACAGCGAGGATGTTGGTTTGCAAGCACTACACTACCAGGGTTATGGGTGACTGGGATGTCGATCCACGCGTTATTCCGTACATCGAGTTGGCTGGCTTGGGTGGTATTCATCGGATGGCGTTCAAAGAGATCGATCGAGCGCTTGTCACTACGCTCGCGGAGAGATGGAGACAAGAGACGCACTCCTTCCATCTACCTGTTGGGGAGGCGACCGTCACGTTGTGGGATGTGGCGATACTCAGGCGGTCGCGTTAGTCGATCCCGGCCCGTTGGTTTGGTAGCTCGGGTTTTTGGGGTTCAGCCAGGTCCCGACGATATCAGGGGCTCCGAGTTGAGGACCGGCTAGATACGCGAGACATTTCGTGTGCTTCCTGCGGATGCTGACGCCACGGTTCAGAGACACGCTAGAGCATACTTGTTCTTGCTCATCTCGGGCATGTTGTTCGGCAACAAGAGCGGGAGCCATCTACAACTTATTTACCTACAGCTGTTAGACCACGACTAGGATCATATTCGTGGCTACAGATGGGGTAGTGCCTGTTTGGCGACGTTGTATCGCCAGTTGTGTAGAGCATCCCACCGTGGTTCTGGCGAGATCGAAGGTCCTTTGATTGTGCTTTAGGTAACCCACCTAATTATCGACAATCTAGTTTGGCAATGACTTACGTAGTTTATACTTAACATAGTTTTGTATTTTTGTATTACATTTATGGGCTTGGGAGCACATCCATGTAGGCAGACCAGGTAGGCCTGCTATATCCCAGGGGAAGCAGGACCGGGACCAGCAGTACCAGGCGTACGTTGCTCCACCACTCCCTACACCTAACGAGGCTTACAGTTTTATTTTTTACCTCATACGGTTTTATTTTGCTGGTTGACAAACTAAAACAATTTTTGGTATTAGGTGGGTGGTCCCCAGACTAACACATGCGCATACGGCGAAGGGTCTTCCGTATTACCGAGACGCCCTTGACCGACTCACCGAGGATCAGGTGGTAACCTATTTACATTTATTTGTAAACATTTATTTAATATGTATATTGTCTATGCACTAACCTATTTACAATATTACTTTTGATGTGTTATTGCTTATGACATGGGATCCGTCTGTAGCTGACTTAGTAGATGCCATGCCTGCACATCTGCTGGATCATTAGGCAAAGTGGCGTGCCAAGACCCCCCTATTAGTTTTAAGGTTGTGGAGAGTCACCTACCCAACCGAGTCATGCGAAAGTTTGGACTACGCTAGCTTGTCCCCCAGCAGTGTGAAGTTAGTATCCGCCTTCACGACATTGACCGTCGGGGAAAGGGGGAGACAAACTGGTCACTGGAGCATGTGCGTTACATTGTGATCCGTTCTAGGGCGTTATGGATCCTCACGATCCATACATGGTCTGGTACAGGCGGATTACACGGCGTTTCATCTACCCCAGCTTCACGCCACCATCCACACATTACCATCCAACCTTTGACGTCATTAGCGGATATGTGAGTTTATTTAATTTACTTATTTTCATCAATTTTTAAATTTCTATATCATACAACTGATTGATCGATGATTATTGCAAGTGGTGGATATGGTGGCGATGGTTGATGCACTATCAAACGCCCTAGCATACGGACCCACCAGAGCCCAGGTCGAGCGGGTGCGAGATATGGGCGTGGCTACCTTGTAGAGATATGGTCACGGCTATCTCTTCCAACCGCGAGATGGTCATGGAGGCCACTCTATGCATTCATAGTTCGAGTTCGGCCAGAGTAGCGGTGGAGGTGATCCTACGTCACCCAGAGTCGCAGAGGATTACATCATCCACAATTCTGCACCCAACCCTACCACGAAAGACCCATCGTCCAGCCAGTAGACTCCGCCACCGCCCCGAGACCCATTTACCACCATTAATCATTACAGGCGGCGACGTGTTAGACGGAAGGACAACAGACAAGATAGAGAACCGTTACCCCGAATAAATGAGTCAGGATAATATTATCTGATTTATTTGTCGTAGTCGGATTTTCTAGTCTGATGTATATAACACTTATATTATTAATATAATAAATGTTTTTTGAATGAATCTGTGTGTGGTTTGAAGTTTAATTTCCTTATTTGTCCAAATCGGACTTATGTCAGACAAAATAGGTCATTCTAGGCCGATATATATCAAACACAAAACATTTGGCCTCCATAATGAGAAATGGGGTAGAACCGATGGCCGGTTGTGGTTAATGTGGTGGTTCATGGTGGTTATAGTGCTGTTGGGGGTGGTTGGAGTGTTCTGAAGTGCCTTAGGGTGGGCGAAAGGCGCCAGAGGTGGTGGTCGATGGTGGTGGGAAGGTTAGGGTTGGTGGTGGGCGTGGTTGTAGTGTTGTTGGGGGTGGTTGGAGTGTTATGAAGTGCCTAAGGGTGGGCGAAAGTGGCGGGAGGTGGTGGTTGGTGGTGGTCGATGGTGGTGGGAAGGTTTGGGTTGGTGGTGGGGGTGGTTGTAGTGCTGTTGGGGGTGGTTGGAGTGTTTTGAAGTGCCTAAGGGTGGGCGAAAGTGGCGGGAGGTGGTGGTTGGTGGTGGGAAGGTTTGGGTTGGTGGTGAGGGTGGTGGCTGAATGAAGGCTGGGGGTGGTGGGTTGGGGGTTGGATTTGGAGTGAGGAGGCTCCTGGCTGCTGCAGTCTAGCAGAAAAAACGTTGTTTGGGAAAGCGTTTTATGTAAAAAAAAAATTGTACATAAAACGCTGTCCCAGGTAGCGTTTTATGTACTTAATTTTTTCCCAACATTCAGTACTTAAACCGCTGCCTGGGATAGCGTTTTTAGTGTATTTGAATTTTTTTTTTTTTAAATTTTAAAAATCAGAAATTACGAAAATTAAAAAAAAAAAAAAGTCAACATGTAAAACCCTGTCCTAGACAGTGTTTTAACATTGATTTTTTTTTTTTAAAAAAAAACCAGCGTATAAAATGCTATCTCGAACAACGTTTTACCCTAGAAGCTTAGTTTGGTAAATAGTTTGGCCACGAGTCTACTTTACAAAATAGTTTTGTAATAAAGCTTACTTTGGAAAAAAATCCATTGTTGTGTAACAAAGAGGCTTTAATTATTAAGGCATTGTACACAAAATGAAATAGCAATGTAAATTAGTAAAACACAAGTCCTTTATTTTGTCCCTTGTGCATGTTTTTAAGTCATGCCGTTGCCATCATTGTTCATCAGTTGTTGTTGTGTTGTTGAGTTGATCGTTGTCTTTGTCCCTGTATTTCAAATGTTGTTAATGTCATAATTTGTTTCCATTTTAACCTGGTGTATGGAGATTATTTATTTTGTTTAGGTTTGTTACCTTTCCTCCGTGTTCCCTATCTTTGCTGCCTTTTTCCAAGCTTTCGTCGTCCAAGCAAACTGTAATTGCTTGCCAAATTACCTCTGAAAACTGTAATTGTTGTTCTGTTTCAGATAAGTTGTCCAAGCAAACCTTAATTTCTGCTCCCCCCCCCCCCCACACACACACAAAAAGTAAAAAATGGTATATATATATATATATATATATATATATATATATATATATATATATATATATATATATATATATATATATATATATATATATATATATATATATCATTGTTACTCTGAATAGTTGGTATTTGGCTATTTGCTCAAATCTGTCTTCCAATTCGTTCAAACCTGCATCACAAAACACAATTTTCTTTTAAAAATTGTATCAATGAAAGATCTCAATACCAATTGCATTGTAATTTAAGGAAAAATATATGTAAATAATAATTAACCTTCTTAAGGAAAAATAACAAAACTAAAGGGTTAATGAGTTACCTAGTTGTTTGACTACATATATATAGATAAATAAAACACATAAATGCCACATATTGGAGCTTAGATCCAAAATGCCAATTTAACTAAACATACAACTTCTCAAATTCACTATAGAGTTAATTACCAATACTAACTCTATAATGATAATTCAGAATTTAAATGCTAAACCTTTGAATATCCAATTACATGCAATTTCTGTTATACTCCATATTAAACTAATTTTGTTGGATGAAAAATTAAGCCAACTTAATGATGATGATTTAAAGTGTACGAATGGAATATCAATAGATTTTTCATTGGTAATTATTAAATAATTATTAAATATTAAGCAACAAACATTCCAACAATTTTCGACATTACATTAATATCGGTATAGCGGACGTCGGCGGCAAAAGTGAAGTCCGATCAACTTATATCCGAAATCCAGAGCCATCAACAAAACACCAATCTTCTAGATCATGGTTACTCCACCCATGTAATTAATTGGTTTCGCCGTGGTTGAATCAATTTTATAAAATATAAGATAGCTCTAGCACTTCAATTTTACAATAATGATAACAAAGACTAGGTTTTTTTTCTTCCTTAAATTAAATAAATAATAGGGAATAAAGAGTCAAGCTGTCAAGGTAATTCAATACCCGCCTTAAATCATTAATACGGAGAACGCCTACCTAACTTTTTATTTTTTTCTTTGAATGAATGTGTGTGTTTTTTTTTTAAGAGGGAGCCCCAGTTGATCTCAGAGATTAACAATCTAATTTATCTCCTCTCACAACATTATGTGTTAAAATTTGTGCCACTTTATTATTTTACTTTTATCATTTAAAATATAAAAGAAAATGAATAAATTGTGAGAGGAGATTTATTCACATCATTTATCTCAGAGATTAACTTGAATTTACCCTTTTTTTAATAATTAAATTATGTAATTTATAGCTATGTATATTTCTTTTTCATAAATGTAATATATGAAATATATGCTTGATAATTGGCTTAGATGGTTGAGTAGTCAATTTTGTTATAAGTGATTCGGAGTTCAAATTTTTTTATCTTCAAATTTTGTGAAGTGGCGCATTGACTTTTTTATAAAGGCATTGACCTTTTAATATATCAGTATAAATAGATAACAAATGTCTTCAGAACTTCAGATCCATGATACGAAGTAATTTAAGGTTAAATTTTCACCCTTGAGAGTTTTTCACATTATACTGAACCCTCTCCTCTCTCTCCTCCGTCAAAGCGTACTTACTCTATTCTCCATTGAAGTGGCTTGTGAGCTTTCTCTCTTCCATTGAAGATTTGAAGCAGCTGCCGAGGTATATTATATATATATATATATATATATATATTTTTTTTTTTTTTTCAAAAATATCGATTATTGATTTCGCAATCTAGTGTTAATCATTAATTTAATTGTCACTATATTCAATTTAGGGTTCTTCTAAGGTGGATTATTGAACTAGAATACTGAAGTTTTTTAGAAATTTGCTATTCATATTCTCAAACGAGAAGAATTTGGCGTTATATTTGAGCCTAATTTGATAATTGATTCAAATTTGGTTGCTGATGTATTGCAGAATTCGGTTAAAATAACCCTTTAATGTGAGGTTGAAATTGTGAAAATGGAGTTTTTTTTGTTCAATAAGAGCTTTTGGAGAAGGCACAAGAAGAAAATTTTGGTTTCATTGGGAGTTGCTGGAACTGGGTATTTTTTGTACAAGCTGTATGATGCTCACAAACACCGGCTTGCTGAACTGGAATCCGAACTTGCTGTCCGTCGGGAGAATGATGAAAGCATTAAGGCCCAGTTAATATGAATTTCTTTCTGTGTTTGTATGAATCTTGGTGAAAAATTGTCTTTGGGTTTCTAATAAATTCATTTATCTTTCATTCCACCATGTAGAATGCAAGAACATTTCGAGACCATTCAGAGAATAGCTAGCACAACGACGTTGCCTCGAGCCATGAACTTCTTAAGCACTAGGATAAATGAGGAGTTAAACCTTTCGGTGTTGACAGAGAGGCTGAAACAAGGAAAGGATGTTTTGACCCTTCCAGAGAAACTTGAACTATGGGATAAACTCAAAGTACTGAGTATGTTGTCTTTGGATTACTGATTTTAATTGTTGATTGTGATTTGTGGACGCTTTGTTCTTAGTTCTGAACGGAGGTCTTTGTTTGCCAGGCTTCACTAAACTGGTTACATCAATTTGGTCAGTTACTATGCTTAGCTTATTTGTTAGAGTACAAGTGAACATACTTGGAAGACATCTTTACATTGATATTGCAAGATGTCAGGAAAGCTCCCCATTGCTCGTAAGTATTGGTTCCTTCTGTTTTTCTTTTTTTTTGGTATGTATTATGCTGGATGGTAGTTAATACTTGTTATTTAACAATTCCCTAGTTGTATATGTCAGCATTGTATAGATAATCAAACAATAGATCTAATGAATTGTGATATCACATGTAGTGGTATAGGGTTTTTTAATTTAGCGTTAACATTATATTTTTGTAGATTCTCTCTCGTTAGACCCTTGATTGGAAATCAACAAGTGCTACTTTAGAAATTGAAGTAGAGTGCTGTCTACCAAATATATGATTTGACAAATATATCCATAGCTGTATCATCTTTCCCTTTATTTTTAACTGTATAAATTAGCTCTCTATGTGAATAGCAGATCCGAATTACAATTTTAACAATTCCATTTGCTTCATGCTATTTTGTATGATTGTAAGATGTTTCTCCTCAACCCTCATGACACACCTTTTTCTAAGGAGATAGACGCTTCTTGTATGAATTATGTGAAGGTTATCCATTGATTTTGTAAAACTTTCTTGTTGAAGGAATTTGTCTTTTGCATACATCTGTAATTTTATATTTAGCAAATCTATAAGCCATGTTTGTTTCACTTCCAATTTGATCTTCAAACAAAATTAATCTAAATAGGAGATTGTCGACAAAAGGAAAGCATCTTTGGATTGGGAGATGAAATAACGTAACTTGCATAAAACATTTTATTGAACTTATTAAACTATGCCCTAAAACTCTTTGTTGTTGGATCTAATATTGCAAAGATAATAGAAATCTAAGGATCCAATGAAAAGAACGGGAATTAAATGATCTAATGAAGATTTAGGTTATTATTATATGGATACTCTTTACAAACTTGAAGTAAGATTATTAGGATTACATTGTTAAGATATGCAAGCTTTCTCTTATGCTAATAGGATGTCTTTGTCCTCTTCAATATCATGTATCTTGATTTCCTATTCTAGTTTTGTCATCTTTAATTGTGGGGCTGTTTGGTTTAATGAAGGTGTAGATATGGAAACAAGAATTTCTGTAATTACCTACTTTGTTTTCACCATTTATTCTTTTTTCCTTTCATTTGTTGGTTGAGAAATTGATATAACTTTCAGTTGTTGGTCTTCATGGTTTAATACTCCCTTTGTTCCTTTATTTTATACTCACTTGCCTTTTCATGGTCTTTAGTGCGCTTCTTTGACTATTAGTATCCTTAATTATGCATTGGCAAAAATTTGTTTAGTGGATTCATTGAAAATACACATTGAGATGAATCTATTAAGATCTCCCATGCTAATGCTATCCCTTGTTGATAAATGCGGTCAACTTTCTCTTGTTTTGACCACATAAACAGTGAGTAAGGGGGACGGAATTATTAATTAATATTCGATATTTGAATGTTAGATCTCGAAGTTGAACAATCAAATGATTGCTACAGCTTCTTTTTAGTGTTGTAGTAGTCCTGCTATATTACTGCTAAGGTGTTTTTGGGAAGGCAGTATACATCTTATCTTTTTTGGGCCTCTTTCTTGCAAAATCAGAACCATGTGATTTCTATCGAGTTTGTATGGTGGAAATGTTATCTGTTTTTTAGGTACTTTTTTCTATTCAACTTCCTGATTATATAGATGTTGCTCACTGTTGTAACATTCTATGTTGGCAAGAGGAAAGGGTGCAAATTTGGGCCCTGACTTCTAGTTTATTTGAAATTATAGATGTTTAGTGAACATAATTTGTTCATGTGTTGTTCTAAATTTTGTTACTATCTGTTTGATTTAAAGCAATAAGTGGCTATAGCAAGGAAGTGGAAGATAAAGAGGTTTATAAATTAAAGTCTCTTTCACTTGCCTTTTGATTTGGAAAACTTTGGATGGGCTAAAACTTACAAGTATCAATTTCTTTTGTTGTTTTCAAATATCAATCTGATTAGGTTATGGAACTAAGAGATTTATCTTATATTCTATATATACCTATATATTTATGGACACTCCTGTTCTTTTGTGAATTCTTCTTATTTCCTTCGAATAGGTTGTTACAAATTAATTTGAAGTCTTATCATTTTCTGCTTTGAAAATCTGATTCCTAAGGATACTTTCTCAACAATAAAGTGATTGGGTGGGCGAAATATGAGATAGGGCCACTTTGCAGAGTTGTAGTCCACTCGTTTATTTATAATAGACGAGAAATATGCTTAATGTGATTTATTGAATGATATCTAAAAGAATATCCAATCAAGTAGGATAACTTATATTTCTGCTGAACATATGAACCATTTCCTTATTTTCTCTGGGGGCAGAATTTTTTTTTGTTTCTTCAGGTGTCTTTGGTCTCTAGTGGGCCTCTGGATAAACCTAGTTGAAAAATAAAAATAAAGAATTGGGTTCTTAAAGGAGGTTGTAAATTTTACCTACAAGAAAATGAATGACCATATGCTTTTATTTGCGCCATGGATAAAATTTTCTCATGATTAATCTACATGTGTTTTCAATGTACGTTTATATTCGATAGGTGTAATGCGAATTATGATTTCCTATACTAACAAGAAGGCCAGAAGTATATTTGGCTTGTCAGCTATGAAACAGTAGGGAAAACTATTATGTCAAATTTACAGGGGAAATTTGAGATGGTATAGGACCCACAATATGCTTAAATGTAGTGTTGTATCAAACTTTATGTAAAACCTTAGGCTTAAATACTTTGGCATGAGATATCACTGAACCCTTTGCTCTGTAATTATTTGAGGCCAATTCTAGTGATAGTTATATTTTATCTTAGTATTTCATTTGCTCTTGTGCTGCCTATTTACTATGAAATGGATGAAGCATATTTAATGGATGAGCTATGATATTTTCAAGTCAAAGCTTTGAATCCTTGTTATCCTTCTTTATAACTGTATCCAAAGGACCACTAAATGTCTCGATGTGCCATGTCTAGTGCTGGTCGGAGGGCTTTATGAATAGTTGGAGCCATACCTTACTTAGCGGGATGGCTTTGTAATAAAATTCAGTAATTTTAGAAACACATATACAAGGCACATAGACATGGGGAACTGGAGAAGGTTATATAATGTGACAAAGGGCTTATGTTAGTTGATTATAGGTTTATGTGTAGAGATTGTGAACTGCTGCTGAATTGATCGGTGGGCATGAGACAGCTTTTGGAACTGAATCATTCTAGTAGCTGGAGAAAAAGAAAGCAAATCAATTACTGTAGAATTATAGAAGATACAAGTTAAATGGAAGTTGCCTAAACAGTGGAAACAGGGTTGTGGATCAGCAATTTTATGTGTCATCCTAGGCTAAACATTGGTGCTGCACGGCCTGCACCTATCTGAAATTAGTATTCCTTGTCTAGTGTGGGGCATGTGATCTCCTGTTTTGTAGGTTATTTTAGCCAAAAACTGATAGTTGAACACCAAATCATGGTAATTGATTGATATACTTTTTGGCTAGGTGTATTTTATACATGCAAATGTAATTGGCCTATCAAATTCTTTAGCGCATTAATCATAAATTAACAGAAGGTAGAACCAAATCCACTATCTATTAAAAGCATTGTTACTCTTATTATAGTAGTAAAACTTGGATGTATCGGCGGATTGACTCATCAGTTTGCCATTAAAATTAGATCCTCACAATCAAACACACTTACCCTTTTCTGTTTGGTTTTAAGATAGATATACGATGATTGAATTAATAAGAGGCATTTTCTTAGGAATTATTTCATGCAAATTCATGGTATTCAATTAGCAGGCAAAGGTGTTATTTTTATTCATGGGTTCATGGTTTCACTCACTCTTTGTTTATATTATTCTGTGTGGTTGCCTTTGGACATGAGGAAAATAACAGTAAAGGTAGCTATTTATTACGTAAAGGTAGTAGCTATTTATTATGGAAAGTGGATGAAAAAGCCAATAACAGTAACTTCTACTTTGCAGGAAGAAGCTAGTCTCATTGATCAGGATGATGAACAAATTTTTTTAGCTAGGGCTGATTTTCTGGCTAGTCATGGGTTGCCTGCTTTAGTCTTCAATATGCAGGCTGCTGCATCAGAAGTCCTAAAAAGGTGAGTATTATGTTGCATAATCATTTAGGCAACCTTATTTACATTTTACTACATAGAAGATGCTGTATAAAATTTTCACCAAAGAACTGTTAATCTTATTGAACTTTTGATAGTTGCATAATAGTGTCTCCATTCTTCAAGACTAGCATTATCCCATTGATCATTCCATGTTATCATGATAACATAACTATCTATCAAGAGTCTTAATAAATTTACTATCTTTGGACTATTTTTAAGCTTTTCCGATGGGCGTGAGTGCACTAATCAAATGAAAGGGGGAAAAAAACAGAAATGCTTACTTTTTATTCCTGATATGGTCCATCTCATTTTGAGGCCATGTTAATTCTGTATGGCCAAAGTGCTTGTTCTTACATAGAGCATACAATTTAGCTAGCTAGTCAACTGCTTCCCTCTGCAAGCCTTAACAGTTAGCTGGACCTTATCAAAAGGGCAAAAAATTGTGCGTTGGACAACGTGCAAGTCATAGTTGAACAACTAAAAAAAAGAGGAAATATATTTTATTTGAGCGTTGTGTCCTTTGTAGCCAACCTTTGTAAAATAACTAACCAGGTTAAAGATACTCTTGCCATTTGGTTCATCTAAGGGAAAGAGAATGACTTAAACATTGGGAAAGGAGAAGAATTGAATTTTTTTTTTTTGTAATAACAAAGGGAATGAGTGCCACCATACAACCACCTCTTCACTTTTCTTTTCCTCTTTTTCCGGACACCATGAAGACCCCCATCACCTACCTTGGCCACCTACCCTAACCGCCCCTCCCCTAGCCGCCCCTTCCCTTCCCCCGAAACCACCAGAAAAAAAACCCTCCCCTCCCCCCAAAACACCCCTCAAAGACCGCCCAAAACCCTTTGGGCGGTCAGTGAGGGATTTTTAAGGGTTTTTTCGGAGGGGAGGGCGAGGGGTTATGGGGAAGGGGAGGGGTTTTCTGGTGGTTTGGGGGGAAGCGGAGGGTAGGCTTGGGTGGGGGGAGGGGCGGCAGAGGGAGGCGATGGGGTAGGTGGGTTTTTCGGTGGTGGGGGTAGGGTAGGAGGGTGGTGGACTAGTGGGGGTATGGTGGTGGCTAAGGAAAGGGGATGGAAATACTTAGAGGGGGTGGGGATTGAACTTGGAAGACTGTAGGGAAATGGGGAAGGTACAGGGAATGGGAAAAAGAGCCTAACCAACACCCATCAAAGGGAATAAGGGCAGTTGATTCCCTTAACCTTTGATGAATACCCCCAACCAAACGGCCCCTTCGAGTTTGCATGTTGTTGCTGATCATTTGTTTCCAAGGAACATGAAAACAGGCCCTTTCGTACCTTGATACAACTTTATAGTAAATTTCTGTCTGACGCTAAATGCTATAAACCACCTTGATCCAACCTCAACTCTGCTGCAAGAACTTTTTTTCGTCATACAAGAGTCTATGTTCTTATTTCAAAATGGTATTTATAGATCCACATTTTTTCTTGCTTCTTTAGCCCTGCCAAAACAACTACACTTGCTTAAATCCCAGGAAACTGAAGCCTTACTTGAAGCATTAGAGCTTACTCTCCATGAATTACTTTCCCATTTCCCTTAACTTTCATTATACTTTTTTAGGCATCAGTCATTAGGAATGGCAGCTAATGGTGAGTAGGGCTTTTTTCTATTAATCAATGTTGAATAAGACACAGAAGAAACACATTCCACTGCCCAGCAAAGAAACAACTGAGGAAACCCTAGCTTCAATCAAGATAAATATTGAAAAATGTTATGAATCGAATCAATAGCTCAAGTCAACTACCCCTTGCGGTGTATAAGAGGTGCAAAGGGGGAACCAACAAGAGCAGCAGCCAAGAAGCATTGCTATACTACAAGACAAGGCAAATTAAGAAGAAGAGAGGGAAAGAAAAGCAATCAGCTTCTAATATGTTTATTTATGTCGTTCTATTTTAGCGAAGTATCACATGTGTTAGCATTAAGGTCATCTTTGACCATTAGCAATCCTTAGTATAAGTATGTAGTAGAATCAACCAAGAAGGCATCCAGAAAATGAGTGAACTCTTGTGAGATTTGTGACCTCAAGTCACTAGAGAGAGTGATAGCCTAAAGCTATTGTGTTATCCCTTAAACCATTAACAATCAATACAAGCATTTAACTTTGCCTTCAATTCTTATTACTTTAATAATTGCAACTCAGAGTATCGGAGTACATAACAAAAAACTTCCACCCTAATGTATCATATGAAAATTTCAAGTTATGTTTAAGCATAAATCTAAGAGACAAGTTTTTTCTGTCATATTCAAGCTCAGTAGCTAATAGATTTTTATCAGCAGTGTGTCTCATAGGGATGAGTACTCACTGACCATAATCCACCACTTCACCAACTAATTTCTGTACCCAATCAGTGAGTATTGTAGTCTGTAACTGAATATGAGCAATTGATCTTAGGAATTAAGGTAACAGATGTACGATTTCCCTGGTTGAATTACTAGCAAGCATGGACAAACTCTAAAAATTGAGATATAAGAATTACTGTCTTCAGTTCATTCATGTGCATTACTATATTAGAGTTCCTAAAGACACGCATGTTCCAAATTTTATTATTCACATCAGCTACCATTGGTTTTTCTAGTAATTAAATGAAGACTAAAGAGCATTCTTATACTTGAATATGTCTTAGGTATCAATCAGCAAGTTCTTAAATTTAATTCTTTAATTTTTGTTGATGATTTAAGCTGTAATAATTAATTTATTTGAGAGGTATATATTGTTTTAAAGAGATTTCATTAAACATGTGGTATTAAAGGTGTTATCTTCCAGTGGAATTTGTTACAACTGCTGAATTGACTGTCATTGCAGCAAACAGCTGAAAGATGTCTTTGATCACTTAATACTTCATGAAACTATTGTTCAAGTACTTGACACATTCATGAGCATGGGAAGGCCTCATCATTGGATGGAATACTTGCTGCCAGAAGATGCTAAATTGCCAAGCTTAACTGCATCTCAGAGCGGTGATAATTTAATTATTTCTGATGTGCCCAAATTCGATCAACTCATGACGGAGACACATACTGTTTTATCGAGGTATGCAATAACCCTCTGCTTCAGCTCTTGCAAGTACTACTGTAGCATGGGCTTGTTCCCATTGCCTAATATTTAGCCTTTAGGGTATGCTTGGATTGAGGGTAATATATTAAGGGGGTAATAAAAGTCAAACTTGAAAAAACACAAGTAATTAGAGGTGTTCTTGTAGAAGCCAAGGTGTTTACAAATGAAATAAAGTAGTTGTGCCATGAGGAAAAGAGAGAGATGGAGGAATTATTACCTTCATAATGAGGGTAATAGTTACCCACCCTCCCCCTAGTGTAACTATTACCCCCAAAATGAGGGTATTAGTTCCTCTTTCTTCAACTCATACCACACATCACTACATAGTTTTCCTTACAATCACACCATCACTATCTCCTCCTTCCCTATTTTCACTTTCATTTTGCTTAGTTTGACTTTTATTACCCTAGTAATACATCTCCCTCAATCCAAGTATGCCGTAAGGCTTAGACCAATATCTTGCTCACTCAAATATATGCCATTATGCATCACCAGCAACTCAAAGGTCCAGAACTATTTATCGTGATTGCTCAGAATGATTACTAGTTAATCCTTCCATTTCATATAATGTTCATCACTTAAGTACTTAACTATTTCTATTCTATATTGTATGTCATCTAGAATATCTTTTCACAATTATTTGTCAGTTTGTTATAAATTATTTGTCAGTTTGTTTAAGATAGCTCTATTATTAATACAAATTGTTGATTAAGTGGAATAAAGAATGTAGTGGGGGTTAATTTGTGGAAAGTGAGAAAATCTAGTTGAGTTAGATAAAAAGTTATATAAAGAAGTGAGTTAGAGGATGATGGAGAAATGAGGCTTATATATAGGGACAAGAGTTTTGTGAGAAATGAGACTTTTTTTTAGGGCTAAGAATTTTGGGAGAGAATTATACTGGATAATACTAAACTGGACAGGACTTTCTAGCAAGATGTGAACAGATTTGTGTAATGCCTGTCATATGCTGTGTATGATCATTGATGTATCAGGAAATGTTAAACTCAAGGAACAGCATTAATAGAAAGCACTAGTTCAGTTTTCTGATCATTGATGTATCAAATATTAAGTTAGTGTTTATTTTTTGCAGTAACGAGTTCACAAATGTGGTAGATGTATCTCTCAAGACGCTGGTGAATGCAATAGTGAGAGATATTTTTGTCGATCAATCAGGAGCAGGATCACACTCATCAGGCATGGCATTGGTGAAACTAGTGCCTCGAGTTGCACAAATGAGTCAGCTACTACTTGATGAACCTTCAAGTAACCAGTTTGTTCAAACGATAAAAAATATACAGGATGTTGAGTTGTTCTTCACCATCCTCTATGCAAATGCCTTAACTGTTTAATCACTATGGAGATTGTACAATAGATATTTGTCTCAAGATTCAGATAAATAGAAATTTGTCCGCACAGTCGCAATATCTGTTGGGATTAAATTTGGAGAGTGAAGCCTACAATGGAACTTTTTTTGGACAGAGGGAGTGACAGCATGCTTCTTCTGTGACGCTCAAGAAGAATTGGAAGTACATCCTTCTACGGTTTATTCTAAACGGCTAACATGTTAGCCATGCGGAAGCTTTCAAGATCTTGAAAACAAATCAGGTTCGTTTGTTTAGAGGTCTTCAAGAAAGGTAAGAGAATCAACTTGGCTAATTCCCTTAGATGATAAATGTTAAGCCATGTTTATCATTTCCTTTTCCCTCTCCTTACCTCCAAAGTCCTATAACCCCATTCTCCACCCCCGTAAGGCTCACTTACCCTTTCCCTTCTGCTCCATGACCACCTTGATCCATTATTGACTACCACATTGACCACTTAAACCACCGCTCAACCTAACAACCATAATCACCACCCTTCAACCCTTGTTCCCCGAACACCAGCACCACCCCCATCAACCCACCACAAAACCCACGATGAACACCACCCAACAGCAGGAAACACCACATCGACCACAATAACCTGCAACCCACAAAAAAAAAAAGGCATCCTGTAAATCATCACTTCACCCCAAAAATTACCCAAATCACCCAGTAAACAACTTGAACAACTCTTAATACAATACCAATCATCCCAACAAGATTTAAAGGAGGGTCAGTGGGAGCACGAAGGGGCGGTAGCAACAACGCAAGGAAGGCACATCAATGGTGGTAGGATGAAGGGTTTGGTTGAAGTGATGGCGGTGGTGTTTGTAGAGGGAAGGGAAATGATGGTTAAGGCTAAAGGGGAATTCTTTTTCTTTGTCTATAACAAACTAAGTAAATTTAAGCGATTAGCTTTCTACTCCGTATTCTCGTTTTTCCTAAAATCTTTTCCTTTACCCTTCATGAACCAAATAGCCTCCTTTTTCTTTTAATGATACTCTTCATTGGCAAATTATATTTGTTGTAAAAGGGTGTGTCAAATATCAAGATAAAAAAAAAAATAAAAAAAAATATGTGCTTTTAATTTGTTTGAATATTATCTTAAACCGTCTTAAATTCTTAAGTGTTTTAGAAATTATATCATTACTACTTGTATGTATTTTTTACATGGCCTTAAAATAGCAAACTTGTTTAATAAGTAGTTTTAAACGTGTTAGACCAAGCTAATGGTAAGGTTTGTACCTACCAACATTGAGGTTAGGGGTTCAATCCTCACCAGTGACATTGGAGGGTGGGGATCCTTTCCCCTTTCCCCTCTCACTATCAAAGTGTCTGATCCGCAAATATCAAATCAAAAAAACCGTGAGAGTTGAAGTACGGTTAGGGTTTTTGTCTGACCTTTAAAAAACAAGTTATACATGTGTTAGTGAAAGAAATGTGTTTTTATTTTTTATTTTTTAATTTTATGAAATTGTAATTTGAAATGCAAACTTTATTCGTATTGCCACTGCAAGATATACAAAGCAGGCATTAGGCATCTCAACCAACTATTTTGAGCCATAAAATGTGAGACAAAAAGCAATTACATAGTCAAATATTCTTGACATATTTCTAAAGAAAAGCATCCTTTTAACAAAATAACAATTTTAATTTCCAAACAAAAGCACGTAGTGCAAAGCGTTTCTTAACTACTGTCCTAGAGCTAAATATTCTCCTCCTACCCTTTTCAATAACATAATCACTTCTAATTGTACCATATTGTCATGTATAATAATATCAAAATGCCGATTAGTACATTATTATGTGCATCCTGCTTTGTAGTCGACGAGCGTAGGGGGCTGAGGCTGTTAAAAAACAGACTTCGTATCAGTATTTCTTCGAAATTTTACTGTTATATAAGTAATATTTGCCTGATAAATGTTGATAAAATGGGAATCGTATCAATATGCAGAGTATTTATAAAAGGGTCGATGAACTTTTATGTTTCAAAAAATTTCAGCATACCTGGAAGCAGCATAGGAACATTTACCGTAGCCTGCAATAGTTTCAATTGCATACGATCGATTAGCAAGTGTTTAGGATAGAAAGGTATTAAGAAAAGGTAAAAGAACTACTAGATTTTAAATAATAGATAACTAAAAGAGTTGGAGTTGGAGATTATGAACAACTAAATCTAAGTAATCCTTCCTTACTATTGTTTATTCCTATGTTTTCTTTTTAGAAGTACTTCTCATTATTATAATATTGAATTATGTTAACACAAAATTATTTTATTTTTATTTTTTGAAATTAATTTTTTATTTTTTTTCCAAAGAATTTTAATGCAAACTTTTACAACACTACAAATCTAACGTTAATTCTATATCTGGGATAAACCCCATCAAAAGTTACACTTAACCACCTAGCATTTACATAATTAGTTGATATTAACATGCCATTTGTAATCACGTAGCAAATCATTTTCAAAATTTAATACTCCGTACATAGTTTAAACCTATCATTATCAAGGTCTAAGCCAAATGGTTAAAATTGAGGTCCAAAAATCCTAATAAAATGACCAATTGTGGCCATAATAAAGAGGTACTTCTGAATAATTAACACGACTACCTAGTTAGTAAGGGATCTTTAGATTTGTGTACATTATCAGTATAAAAAAATAAAAAAGAAAACTAGTTGGAGTGATTGGACAAGTATAGTGAAGTTAATTACTTGGGTCTTTCTTTGTTAATGTAGATGTTCCACCAAAGTTGCAAGCAATGTCATTGTTACCATTCTGCTGATAATAGGCGTTGAAGGCATAAGAAGCATGTGAAACCACCGTATTAGGCTCGTAACACGGGCCACCGGCTTTGATCGGACTGCAATCGGCTTTTCCGTCACCACAAGCCCAATCCAGTGCTATCTGTAGATCCATCTGAGGTGCCCAAGGAATTGCTACACACCAAGTTGTTGCATCAAGGAATGTAGTGTTCCCTTCTGGTGGAGATAAAGCTGTGTTTGGTATTGTTGCTTCTGCCTTTTCTTCTACTGTTACATGTCCCATTGTGTACACTTCACATAATTTGTTCAACAACAAAACAAACACAACATTTTAATTAACATTCTGTTACTTAAAATAAATTAATAATAAAATAAACGAAACTCTTCATTTTTCATGTAAACCAACTTTTTTTATATTTTTTCCGAAAACATTGATATGTACTTTAATATATATTGAGTACATACAACCAATATTGCGAAAATATATGGAGTTTTAACAATGTGACAATAACATCCGAATATATTTGTACAAGAATACTACTCGTTTAAAAAAGAATACTACTCATAGCATTTAAAAGATTGAGAAAAATCAAATAAGACACAAGTAAGTTAAATAATAAAATTATGAAACATACCCAAAAACCAAGGTATCATGAGCAATATGTGACAAAACCAAATTCTTCTTTTCATTTGTAAATATAATCTCTTGAATTATTTGTAACCTTCTAAAGAGGTAGCCAAATATATCACTAAAAATCAAATACCGTAATACTTTGTGAAGAGAGTTATTATGTATATATAAGAACGTAAAAAATTATATTAATTGAGTAAATTTGGCTTATTTCTTCATTGTGTTGAAAGAAAAATTTAATGCAAAGGAAGCTAAAGAGAAAAACTAATAAATAGAATAGGCTGATTATTTGCTTGTATATGAAGAGTAAATTTAATATAATGCAGAAGAAGCTAAAGAGAGAAACTAAGTAATAAATGCAAGATAGTTGAAGCATCATAAGTTTTCTTGTTGCAGAAATAAGCTTTAATTTGTCTGATACTCTTTTTAATGTTTACTTTGAAAAATCAATTAATTGTTAGGGAAGTCTAATGGATACTCTACTACTTGTTCTCATTTACTTGATTTGATTTTATTTCAGCACTCAGTGCTTATAATGACCTTTTTGCATAAACGCATAAAGATGAGAATTTGGTAGAAATTGTTAATAAAGTACATCATGGGCCTACTTTGCTTTTTATTTTATTTTATTTTATTTTTATTTATTTATTTATTTTTAAATAGGCATTTTTATGGTGATTTCCTTAATGGATATTAATCCTCAAAGACGGTAACAGATAGACACTACTAACACAATCTATGACTTTGTTATTTGACTAATAATATTTTTAAAATCGGAATGTCATATTGTTTGACCCACACTATATTTGGTAAGCTTTTGATAGTTAAAATTACTAATTTACCTTTATAAAGTTTATCAAATTATTATGTACTCAAACATAATTTTAGGTACTCCCGCCCTCCCTTAATTAGATGTCTACTTCTCTTTATTATGTGAGTAATAAATGCTAGAAATAGGCATCTAATAAAGGGACGGAGGGACCAATTGGTTGTTGGTGTAGTGGTGATTGAGACTACACTTGGTAGGGAGGACTGCGTGTTCGATCCACAGCAACAACAATTGGGAGGGGACTGGAACCTAACCACCCAGAACTAATCCTCGAATCCGGATTAGCCCAAAGGGTGAACCAGGTGGAACACCAAATAAATAATAATAATAATAATAAAAGATAAAATAACGGGACAGAGGAGTACTAAGTTTTTCACTTTTTAGGTACTTGTAAGCGTCGATTAAAGTGTGCAATTTTAGCATGTATGAATATGCTTGACAATCATAGTAAGTTGTGTTTCGGGTGTTTCTTGATGTGTCCTACGGGAGAGGTACAACTCCAAGACTGGATTTGCTGGTGCCTGTAATAAACGGAAGCGCCGGTTGTTCGGAGTTCCGCCTCCGACGATCAAGTTAGTACTGGACGGAGAATAATAAGTGTGAAATGTAAAGTAGTTCTTCTCAGATCCCCACTTGGTGGTTAAACTCTACTGCGGTGACGAGATCTAAGTGATTTCGTTATTGTTAGAAAAGGTGAATAGTTGTAAGAAAGTAATGTAATTGATTATGTCTCCCAAGGTAATAAATATCCCTATCTAAGGGGCATGCGAGTTAGTGCCCTTACCTTTGGTCATTTAACCTAGGTAATTGGGCTGTGCCGTTTTTACGACGCCTCGGGATTTGAGCCCATGAAGGGCGTCATTTCCCTAATGATGTGCGTGACACATGTCTTATCCTGGTTGGCCCATTTTGGGCACCTCCTAGCGTGACACATGTCACGACCTGATTGGTCCCATGTCTAGGGTATTTTTACTCTAAACAAGTTAGACATTATAACGATTAAGGACAAAAAAGAAGAAAGCCACCAAAAAGTTTTGAAGAAACTTGTAAATCATTCATGGATTTGACAAATGGAACAAATGCAACTACGAATATTAATCCATGAATGTTACGCCCCATTCACAATCCATGTGATTGCTTACTCTATAATTGTCCTAAAACACAACTGGATATCTGGGGGTGATAATACAAAATTTATCGAATGGGTAAGTCAATTCCACCTGTATTGGCCTTTACTTGATTCTTATATAGAGACATGAATTATTTTCAACCCAATAGGCGTACAAACAAAGGTGTAATTTAGTACAAAATAATTAACCTCGTTAGTTAATTGAATTTAATGCACATGTAAACTAGCTTAGTTATTGTGATCGCTTTGATTAAGCAACAAGATTACTGAGAATCTATACTGGTTGTCCAAATTATCTTGTTAAGTATGTTACGTTCAATTACATCTATACTATATATTAAAAGACGTTTATAAATTTGTGTTTGTGCCACGTGTATCCTTACACCAGTATGACGCCACATCATCATTTAATAACCTTTAGCATCATGCCACATCCTCATTCAATGATCTTAATTAAAAATGCATATAAAGAAATTTGAACCCCAAATTTCATTGATTGAAAACCACTTGTATTACCATCTTAACTAGAATTAAATCATGTTTTATAATCCAAATTTATATATAAATACATACATGATACATGTATTAGAATGTAGAATAAAAACCGAAAAATTCCAAAATAAGTTATTGTTGTCATTGTTTTCTTATTTACCCACGTTAAAAAATTAATAAGTATTTTAAAACGCCTAATATAAAAATGAAATTATTCAAAGTATAACCTGCACTAGCTCTTATTTAAAACGTGCAATTGGTGATAACAACAAATAGAATAAACATGCATAAATATAGGAAGGAAATAAAATTAGCATAAAAAGCACCTTAAATATGACACTACGCAATTGTTAATACAAACCTAGGTATGATACTAGCATGATTAATATAACTCCTTGTAGGGAATTTTTCAAACTCAACTTTGAACCCCATTATGATCATGCATTTAAGCATAGTGGCATACAAAGGGAAGGAAGCTAGAGATAAAAGAGTCGCTAACAAGTTTTAGGAACTTGTAAATCGTTCACGGGTGTGGAGGTTACACCCCATGATTGGATATTTGGGGATGATGGTACGAATTCAACCTAAAAGAGATTAAAGCCACCCTAAATCGGCCTCTATTTAATTCTTATGATATTCATGTGCGCTTTTTGATCAACATACATACAATAAATTAATCCTAAGCATATTTAATCTATGTTGGTTGATTATTAATGCACAAATAAATCTATTATTAGCGATCACTTGAATTAAAATCATATTAGCCTAAAGCAAATTATTAATTATCTTATTAAGCATGATTTCAAGTACAAATTCCCTTTAATCCTGCAAGAAAAGGGCGTGATCAAGCAATAACAATAAATATGAATAATCAAGCAACGTATAATAGTTGAGACAACAATCATCATCATAATAAATATCATCATCAAAATATGATTAGCAAGATTCTAGGCATGATACTAAACGGATTAATAACAAATCCTAACATGTCACTAATAATAAAAATCAAAGCTTTATCATAAATATGATACTAGAAATATGATATTAGAAATTTTAGTTAACACCCTAAACATGATATACTAGGAAATCATAAAAACATCCTAACATGATACTCGGAATTAAAATAACATTCTAAACATGATTTCTACATCAAAAGAATAATAAAGTAATCGAATTACTTACTTTGATGCCTCGTATCTCTTTCTATCAAAACAATACACACATTAGTAAGCTTCAAGAAAGAATAAATCAAATATGAATTGAAATATGGTTTTGGGACCAAACCATCAGAACTATTAACCTTTCACGTCGAGGTTGAAGGCAACTTTGAGAAGGGCTTGGAGTATTCAAGGCTCGTGAAGGGCGAATGGTGTATGTTTAAGAAAAATATCAAAGGATGTGTTTAGGAACATGTTTAGGCTAAGGCTAGATTAAGGCTAGGGTAGAAATCAAGAGAGAGAGAGAGAGACAGAGAGAATAAGCTTTAGCTTAGAGAAGGGATTAGGATGATTGCTGATGATCAAGCTGGTTGATGATTGAAAACGGGGTGAAATGACCTCTATTTATAAGGATAAAAAAGGGTTGAAAGATCAGAAAAGAGTTAGAATTCGAAATGGAATAAAACTCTCTTCATCACGGCGCGACAAGACCATCGCGGCGTGATAGACAACAATTTTTGCGGTTATTGTTTTTATCATAAATTTTGATTCAGAAGTTGGAATAAGATAAATAATATATAATTGGAAAGATCCTGAATAATTTCCAACCCCATTAGAATCAGATTAAAATCTTTTGTAGAATAAAAGATATGATCGAAATTGTGGGACAGTGTCAGTTTTGGATAGAATTTGGTATTTTGTTCATATCCTTTTCATTATAGCTCGGAATTGGGATTATGATATATCATTGGAAAGATAATTTCAAGGGCTATCCAACCATATAATTTTTGGATAAAAATTATGGGGAATTAAAATCATTTCTGAACATCTTTAAATTCGAATAGAACAAGGATTTTCAAAAAGTGGAGTTTTATTCAATTTCAAACTCTTTGATCTTTATATTTCGGAAAGAATAGATTAGAACCTTCTAGAGACTTATAGAGGTTCCTAATGAATCCTAATTGGTTTAGGAAAGAGATTAAGGTATTGGGACCCTCACATGATCATTGGGTTGTAGGTAAGGTGGACCTAGGTCCGGTTTGGGCTTGGCTTAGTATTTTGGCAAAATTTATTCGTTATAAGTCGGATTTGGGCTTATAATATATCATTGGAAGACTCTTTTCAAACCCCATCCAACTAAAAAATTATTAGACCTAGATCATGGACCAAAATAAACAAGTTTGGACGTTTTTTTATAAAGAGGACACGAAATGAATAATTTGAAGGACACGAAATGAATGATTTTGGTTTAAAACATTTAAGGAAAGTTTATAAATGGTTAAGGCTAAAGGGAAATTCACGAGACTTTTCAAATCATCACCTAACTCGATAATCAAAGACGTGAAAGGTACTCATCACTGGGTTTGGTTTTTGGGGAGACACAATCAGGTGTCTATAGAAGCCCCCACTTTGACTGAGTTTGGAGAAACGTAAGTTTCGAAAACGCTAGTCAAAGTAGATCGATAGGGACAGAGAATGATTCAAAATATTCTGCGATCCTAAATCATTCTCTTTAACACCGATACCTTCAGAAAAGCGTTAATTCTACAAATAAAGGAGTTAAAAAAGCGTATCTTGCACCATCGGGTACACGCCTCAGGGTGACATCACGTCGAATCAAATTTGTTATGTTCGACAACCTCCACAATGCTTAGTGAACGTTGTCGAAGGTAGCAGTGCTTGCTATCTCCATTTGTAGTGACAATCATCCACATCCTAGGGAATATTGTCGAAGGTGGAAATCTCCACATCCTAGGGAATATTGTCGAAGGTGGCAATCTCCACATCCTAGGGACATCGTCGAAGATCACAGTGCTTAGTGATCTTCAAATTTTAGGGTGACAACCTCCACATCCTAGGGAAAGTTGTCGAAGATCACAATGCTTAGCGATCCTCAAACCTTGCCAATGCTTAGGCGGGATTAACCAATGCTTAGGTGTAATAAAACGTTCCCAACCAATGCTTAGGTGGACTTAACCAATTCTTAGGTTTGATGAAATGCGCCCAACCAATGCTTAGGTGGACTTAACCAATGGTTAGGTGTATTGAATATGCTCAACCAATGCTTAGGTATAATATGCTCTGCCAATGCTTAAGCGTTTTATGCTCTGCCAATGCTTAGGCATTTTTAAGTGTAATGAGCCAATGTTTAGGCGGTTATCAAATAAGGTGATCGACATTAGGCTGATCATCAATCAAAATCGTAACCGAGCCGATTACTAATCAAATC